TGTTACGACAAATAATGGGCTGAGAAAGCCGACCTGCATAGACCCATTCAGCTATTCTAAAGTCGGCTATACAAATGTTCTTGAAGAAACCAAAACCACCACCTACATGGCTAACTAGGCCCAAAACTGATTGATCGATTTCCAATGCTCGAGTAGGATTGAGTTTCACAACATAACCCAACTCTTCAGTCTTCGTTGCTATTTTTAAAATGGACGTTACCAATGTGCAATTTTTAATTCATTTGAAAAAAAAAATTATATTAAATATTGAATCAAATGTGGTTTTTGAAATGGCATCACGTACATATTGAGAATTTATCGAAGCAATTTGTTTATAGAGTGCTCCTTGTATAAAGTATAAAAATTTTGAAAGCAATCAATGATCTTTATTTTCTAAATAAAAGGTTATGTATTAATTATTAAATTAAATATTGATTGCAATAATGTAAATAACTTCTTTACGTGTAACAACGTAAGTCACTTTGGGTTTTGGCATGGTATTACATAAACAATTTGAATCTATCAAAGAAATTAGTTTATTGAGTGCTCCTCGTTAAAAGCACAAAAATTTTGGAAATAATCAACTTTGAATTGATATAATAAAGGGTAAAAAAACATACTACAATTAGAAATTAGGTAGGTGGTCATTTGTGTTGTTTTATATGGCTTTTTTTAGTCTATATATATATATATTACCATTTCATTAATAGAAAGGGTCATTTTTGAATCAAGTGGTTAATTTCTTTGGTCATCATCATACCTAATGTTATACTAGTATATTATAAATAATTAAAACTTTTAGGTTATATACATGCTTGGTCAGTGAAACTAACGGAATCCTAGCCAAAAGTCCAAATAAAAATTATTCACATGACTATATAGAGAACAGATAAAATTATTGCTCTACTTTGGCTGTAAAAGGAGAACAGATAGAATAAATTCTCCATTTTAGACACCAAGATTAGTTCTTTTGCTAAACCAATCATGCCTCTTCCATACCTGCAGGGTTTTTTAGATGCAGCCGAAGAAAATTTCAGGTCCCAGAATCTTGAAGGAGCCATAAAGCAAGCGAAAATGGCCAGAGACTACATCGATCAAGTCTTGATAGCTTACCGTGTTCACTTGGCCTCGCAGGAGAAAACCAATGATGTCCCCGATTATTACGCTGTTCTCGGGGTTCGAGACTCCAACGCTGATAAAGATGCTATTAAAAAGGCCTTCAAGCAACGGGTCCTCAAAGTCCACACCGACAAGAACAGCTCTGCAGCGGCTGACGGTGCATTCAAGCTTGTTTCCGAGGCCTGGGAGGTCCTGTCAGAACCCTCTTCAAGACAAGCTTACGATGAAAAACGACGACGCTCAGCTAGTCCATGTAAACAACATGAATGTAGTGAACAAGATGAGACTGTTCCAAAATCATCTAAAGGGCCCGCCTCAACGAGTACAAAAGATGAGAGTGGTGCAAGTGAACAAGCGGAGCCAAATTCTTGGTCAGGAGCTGCGGGTCAGAGCAATACAGGCGCACCCAATAATCAACCTTCACCTCATGGCAGTTCAGGATTTCGAGCAGAAGCAGCAGGACGATATGGTGCAAGTGCTTCACAAGATCAAGATCCATTCTACAACAGGACAACGAGATCAGCAAATTGGAGTGGCACGTGGCCCACAAATAACCCGCCTCCTTTCCATCATTCTTTTGAAGGAGCATGGGTGAATGGGTTCAAAGCTAACCAAGCTTTTTATAGAGGAGCAACAGGTTTAAGTGGTGGAACTACTGCTACAGGTTATCAAGCTCCACCGCCTAATAATACCGCCAGAGCCTCATGGACAGAACGGCAGATGTACGAAAGACCAAACCAGTATGGCCAAAGTCCACCTAATTGTGGAGCGAATATCGGATGACGTCGGAAAGACCGAACCAGTATGGTGAAGGTCCATCCAATTTCAGAAATTTTTTTGTTGGTGTTTTAATTTCTTTTGGTTTTCTTTTTTTACTTTTGTTTAATTATGTATAGTATAGATATTCGTATCTACTTTGTGATTACGAAGATGTTAGAATTTGGTTTTTCTATTGAAGATTTTGTTGCTGGTTTCAGTGGTGCCTTGAAGAAAATTTTAAATTTATTTTTTATTTTTTAAGTGTGTTTTAATTGCTTTGAAATAATATCTAAAATAATTTTTAAATTATTCAAAAATATTTAGAATAGTTCATACTTTTTAAGTGCATTCAATTACATTTTTATATTTTTATTTTAAATCAAACAAGAAAATATTTAGTTAACTATTATTGATCAAAATAAAATGTCATTTATGATTTTATAAAATCTTAAGTTAAATAACGTCGATGTAATATGTTGATATATTATAGTAAATGATCATTTGATATACTAATATAACATGTTGATATGATTATATAATATCTTTAGAAATTTTGTTGTTGGGGTTTTAATTTAATTTGATTTATTTTTGTTTTTTTAACCATGTATAATATAGATATTCATATCTACTTTGTGATTTTGAAGATGTTGGAATTTGGTTTTTCTATTGAAGATTTTGTTGCAGGTTCAAGTGGTGACTTGAAGAATATTTCAGATTTCTTATTTTTTTTGTCAATGTTGTTTTAATTTTTTACATATAAAGAAACCTATTAGTAATAGCCCATGGTGCCAACTGCCGAGAACTTCTAAGAAAGCAACCGCTTACATAACTAATAAACCCAAAAAGGATTGATCGATTACAAATACTTGAGTAGGATTGAATTTCACAACATAATCCAGCTTTTCGGTATTCTTTGCTGCTATTAAAATGGGAGTTACTAATGTGAATTTTTTATTCATTTAAAAAGATAAATAAATTTTATATTAATTATTGAATTAAATGTTGAATGCAATAACGTGTATAAGCTAATATGGTTTTTGACATGGCATCACTTAAATATTGAGAATTTATCAAAGCAATTTGTTTATTAAGTACTCCCTAATAAAAGTACAAAAATTTGAAAATAATCAACTTTGAATTGGTATAAAAAAGGTGAAAAATCATACTATAAGTAGAAAATAGGTAGTTGTGTTGTTTTGTATGGCTTTTTTTAAGTCTTTATGCTTTACCATTTCATTAATAGAAAGGGTCATTTTGAATCAAGTGGTTAATTTCTTTGGTCATCATACCTAATATTATATTACTATACTATTATAATTAATTAATGCTTTTAGTT